AATAATAATAATAATAATAATAATAATAATAATAATAATAATAATAATAATAATAATAACAGCAAACACCTTTTTCATCTGACACATTTCCCAGCCAAGACATCAAAACTTTTTTCCCCAAATAGGCATTTTACAGTTACTTTAATGTAATATCCATTTTTTAAAAAGGCTTTTCAAAGTCCCCTGGAGTGCAAAGTGATTTTTCAATTTATATTAGTATAATCTATTTGGAAAGGTTTGGGTTCTGGCAGAACACGAAGGGTTGGACTTTTAATTTTTAAACAAGAGTGCTGCAGATGGAGGAACCTTGTGGTATCTAGGCACCTTTGCATTTGAAGCAAATAAATATTTAGGGAAAAATTCTGATAAAGTAAGCTGAAGAGTAATCAGATGGTAAAGCACTTCCAGATGATAGAATTTGGCATTTGTATTCTGAGTACCGTGCAAAATCTCAGTCTCCCCACTGCAATAAACTGCTAATATCTGGCAATCTATTTTGCAGGAGGATGGCATTTAATTCCAGTTCCTTCAGTGGAAGCTAATTCCTTATTCAAATTAATGTATTTAAGATCTTTTGCAATTGTCTAATAACAATAATTTCCAAAAAGGGTCTTTCAAAACCCTACCAGAGATTTGGTGTGAGACAAAGCTGCAATGGACTTGAGAAGTCTTGATTTTCCCCATTGAATTATTCTGGGAAGTTTTCTCCAATGTCAGTGAAAATGCAGATTATTCCCTAGGTCATTCAGAAACACTTCACCTGACAAGTCTTTTCTATAAAGATCTCCAGATTTAGCATAATCCCATGCTTATAGAAATTTCATGGAACTTTTTTTTTTTTTTTTTTAAATGATTTGAAGTAAGTGTATGGTGGGATTCAGCTCACCTAATTTTAACCATCTGAAAGGTAAATGCATAATATAACCATTCTTTCTCTGGTCCATCATGCCTCTGAAGGGTGAGTTCATCCCCTTCCAATGTAGCTGTTTAGAAAAAATGAAATGCATTGATTCGGGAAGTTCACTCTTGTCTCCTATGATTGTACATCGGGCCCAGTTTAGATTAGATGATGACCATAAAAGGGCTCAGCTGTGAAGAAATCTATCCCATCTTTGGGATGAGTATTCCCATTGAGACTGTATGAACATCCACAAACTGCGACATCATGGACCCTCAGTGAGAGGGCAGGATCACATTCTGCAGATCTCGGGCCTGATTCTGCAGACCAGACCAGGTACTATCTGCTGCAGAAAATGCCCTGGCATGATAGAAATCTATAGAGAAGAGAAAAAATGGCCTGACTCCACAATCCACTCCACAAACATCACCACACTGTTCCTAGAGACTTGGTCTGCAATCACACTCAAGTTGGACAAAAAATAGTAGAAATGATCCAGCTGAATATTTGGTGACTATCCGGCTCAACTGAGTTTTCAGATTGTTTGTTGCAAGCATTTTCCCCTGGCAGAACCAGAATATAATTAATGAATGACAAAATTCAACAGAGACAAAATGGAGCCAATTTGTGACATTAGGGGTATAAGGATATCTGAATTTGAAGTGCTAGGGAACAATCAGATGATGCACAACATGGCAAAACAACTTCAAGGTTGGCCCATCCAAACTGCATACAGTCAGCACGAAACTCCAGAAGAAGACCAATTTCATTCTAGAAAGATAGCAAAAGGACTAAGGCAAAGCAACAATCTATCAAGGCTTCACTGATTATTTAACACATCATCTACAGTCTCCAAAGCACTGTTCAAACTCAACGTACAGAGCTGTATGTCCTGCAGAACTTGATCTTCAAGAAGGTGAAGGATGAAGAACAACACCAAGTAGTGAAACATCCATACTTGTAAAGCAGTGTCAGAGTCAGAAGTAAAACAAAGTGCCCTTTCTGTGAGATTGCAAAATCCCAACTTTAGCATCAACTTTGTCTTTGACATTGGTCATATCATTTAAGCACTGCATTTTCAATTTGACATTTGGAAAACTCAGCTAACAGAAATCTGTTCCAAGGGGGGACCCTAGATTGCCCTCTGGGGACCAGAATGCAACCAAAATTCTACAGAAAATGGTTTTATTTTCTGTTTGGATTTCTAACTGCTCTGGTTGTGTCTCAATTCTGACTCAACTGCTGCTGACATGTCCTCCTTGTTGAATATTATCTGTGAATTTCACTCCTGTGCTATTCAATTCCACTTCCCGATAATTAATAGAGATGTTAGATGAGACCAGACCTAACACAAATTCTCCAGATACCCTGCAAGATACCTTCCATAAACTTGTTACATTATCATTTATCATGATTCTTCGTTTACAATCTTTCAGCCAGTTTCCAACCCACATGACTGATTTCACATCTAGGCCAATCTGAATTAATTTTTCTATTAGGATTTCCTTATAATCCTGCACAGGTCAGGGAATGGGCTAGACTGACCTTACAAACCTTTTATGTTTTTAACCTCTTGATGCTACACGGAAGAGGCATGAGATTGCCCATAAAACTCCAACAGCTCTCTGACTGAATTTCTCCAGCAGCACCACAGCACTCCTTTATGACAGGAAAATCAATGTAAGGGAGAGAGTCATCTGAGTCGCAGCAGAATATGAATTCTTGAATACATGGCCCTGCACCAAAATCACCATCCCACACCCCAAACTGCTCCTTCAAAAAACAGCATCTGAAATGTTGTCCTTTCTGTACGTTGTTTCCTCACTGGAGAGGCTCTAGCTCCAGTTCAAATGGTTTAAAGGTGCACTCGAGTTTCTTTGAGTTTCATTCTGGGCTGTTCTCTATCCTGGTTACCTTTTATTTAGCTGCTCCAAATGAAGTGGAAAAAAATGTCCCACTCTGCCGTATTTTTCCTTGTCATTTTTGCTACTTCAAAGAGCGATTGGGTTTTCCACAAAAGTATCAGAATCATTCCTAAAGGAGCTTTGTTCAGATCCGTTAAGTGGTGACAAATGACCTGCTTTAACCTTCCTTTTAAGGTGAATATTCTGATGAAAAGACCAGCGAATATATGCAATTACAGTATTTATAACACAAATTTCCATTCAAGGATGTCCTCCTCTTCCTCTCACCTCCAAAATCTTACACTAGAGGCAAGAATGTAGTAAAAGTCGTAAAGATACAAGCTTTATTCTTCTAGGAGAAAGAAAGATACCTTTCCTTTAAAATTAAATTATTTTCAAAACCAGAACATCAGATACTTTATGAGAATAGGGGAGCTCTTAAGCTTGTCAAACTTGTGTTTTTTTGGTTTTTTTTTTTAAGATATATACCTAAAACCTAAGACTTGTGTTAATCTTGAGACCCGGGGAAAGAAAGGATTAGAGAGAAATTTGTAAATATTCAGATATGTTCTTGTTTCTTTGCTGGTGTATCACCTTTCTATGCAGTTTACAATGATAAGTCTGTTGTGCATCAAATGGATGACCAGTGCTTTTTATGTGCAGGTGGAAAATCAGTTATGGACAGGAAAATTAGTTAACAAACACCACTGGTAGAGCATTTATTAACACACCTGAAGAGAAGTGGGTTTGTCATCTGCACCCCAAAGTCTATGTGGTGGAATCTCTTTTGGAGGATGTTTTGTACTTATCTGTGAATAAAACTTCACTCAGTAGGGCACGAGCCAGAACATGAGCAAACTGAAGTGCAGATTTAAGGAGAAAAATGCATGTGAATATTTCAATGTTGCATTCGCTCAGCACTGAATTTGTTAATGTATTGTGTTAATGAATCAAAACCTTCTCTAAGAAACCATCCTGGAAAATGGTTTGGAAAAGAGTGATTTATATTTAAGTCACGGGTCCTGTCAAACAAGAGATTGTGTTGCGTAATGAAGTACTGCTAACAGCATCTTTTTTCTTAATGAACTGCAAATTGGTTTACAAAATAAACCTGCTTGGAAAACTGGAAATGAGGATCACTTGGCCCATCAATAGAGGGCCTTGGTCTTCAGTGAAAAATGGCATTAACAAGAGCCAGAGCACCCTATTGGGGGATACATTCCTGTCCACAGGGACTGGGCTGTGTCCTCAGCCATGCAGGGGTCCTGCCAGCAGAGCTTGTGAGGTGACCTCATTTCCCTACAATTTTCAAATGAGAACAACCTCTCCTTCCCTGAAGTTTGAACATGGGCAAACATTTCCTTTTAAAGTAACTTTTTTTTTTTTTTCTAATCTAAATTATAATGCGAGAGTAAAATATTTTGGAAAGAAATTTGAAAGAATACTTTGAAACAACCATTTCAGCACAAAAATTTGAATAATTTTGTTAGGGGTACGTCAAAATGAAACTATGGGAAAATGCCCTTCTCTTTTCTTCCTCCAAGACAAAATTTAGTGCAAAGTAGACAGCGTTTCACAGATGGTTTTGATTTCAAGAGTACTCTAACTTCTGATAGAAAAAGATTCAGCTGAAATTTTAAGAGCCAGCCTTACATGAAACACAGGTATTGCGTGATTTAGCACAGGTATTACATAGATTAGCACAGAAGCAGCAAAATGTTCCATGGCCACTTCCGAATTGTAGCACCCTTTACAAAGTTGTTTACACACGTGCAAAAATACACCATGTATGTGGTAAGAATAACACCTCCTCATCAGACTGACAACACTTGTGTCAGGCTGGTGAAAACAATTATGTAATGTGTAAGAAAAGCAAGACCCTGTCTTACACAAGGTCAACTTTTCTGTCTTGCTTAGGTACCTAACTTGAGTAAGTGGTGTTTATGTTCCCTAGACCTTGCAGGAGCATACGTTAGGTGTTTGGGCTTCCCTGTGGGGGTATTCAGTGACATCTCCCAGGCCTCTCACTGACTGCACAAGGAGCTTGATCTTTAATCCCAAGGCAGGAGGGCTGCGTTGCATTTAAAGTCTCTGCGATGTGCATTGCATTCAAAGGCGTGGGACAGGTAGGCAGGACTGCCCTTCACCTTCCCCAATGCCCTCAGAGCAGACAAACAGGCTTTAGGGCTTGTGCAATTGGCATTTTAAAAGAAAAATTATTCTGGAAGATGCCGAAACATTTGCCGTTATATGTATTTGGGAAATGTTATACACCTGTGGTGCCAACTGACTCTTCCATCTTAGTTATAAATCATTATCAGACCAAAATCTTTCTGCAATATTAATGATAGTGACATGCCAGTCTCACAACCCATGATCTCCCCAGCAACTCCCTGGCTGTGGTACCAGTTTGCTAGCCAAAGTGGACTGGAGGAGGGCACATTTGTTGTCAAAACACAAAACAAGGGAGAAAAGGTGATCTGGCTGACTCACGGCTGTGGGAGGGCTGTCCAACATCTCACAGGGCTGCTCCTGGGCATGAAGAACTGGCATTGTGCGGGAATTACCCACCAACGCGTGAGTGGTGTTAAGGGGAAAAAAAAGTTTCAGCAAAATTTCTGTGCCATACCAGAGATGTCCACCAAAAAATTATTCTCAGTTTGCCCTTGAGCCAGTTCCACAGTAATTCTTTTTAGCTGGAAATCCTCTCACTGCCACCAGTGTGCCAGTGTGATCTCCACGCACTTCTCCCAAAGCTCCTGCTCCCAAATGGACTAACCAGTGCCAAAGTGAATGCAGGGCTAGGGCAATGCCATGTGCCACTGCATATGATCATCTCTGCAATTCTGAAATGCTCAGGAGCTCTGTCCCTGCTCTCACCCTTTGTAGGATACTTCACAGTCTCGTTACCAAGAAATTCCTTTACTATCTATTCTCTGCACGAGCATCTTGCACCTTGGTAAATAGGAAAACAGAGAACAGGAGCAATAGAGTGAGAAACAGATGTATAAAAGAATTTGTAGCTTTCCCTTTCTGCCTCCTGTTGTCTTTCCCTCTCTTTTCCATCACACATAGCACCTGCTTTCCCATGTTGTTGAAGACTTCGTTTCATCTGTATTTAAAGCTGCTGTTCAGCTCAAGTGCCAGCCACACACAGCATGTCTCACCGTTTGCACTAGGAGTGTGCACTGGGTGTGGGGTCTGCCTAAGGGACAAGCTTTCTGTAGTAATGCAAGGTTGTGATTTTAATAACTCAATTCACTCCTCTTGGAAAACAAGTCAGCAGGTTTTTTCACCATGGCTTCTGTAATAACAACTGTGGAGAGCTCTGCAGAAGGGTCTTTTATCTTAATGGCTGAAAAGGTTTAATACAGGTTTTGTTCTTAGATTACTGCTTTCAAAATGTCTGGTACAACCTTACCTACATCATTGTTTACTGACTAAGAAAGATATGTATGTAATATGCATACCCATATATACATAAAGGACATTAAATAATTTAAGAACTTTTCTAACATAGTTATTAATCTAATTTTCTCCTTACAAAGTTTCTCCCACAGAACATATATTTAATCGGTTAATGTTGGTTTAAGGATCTCCCTCTCTCTAAAAGCATCTTTCTCTGGATGGGAAGATGACACAACCTCTTTACTAAGGCTTGTCAATTCTCTCACCTTGCTAGCATTGGTGGTATCTGAATTTGTCTTAATTCTTGTTACAGATAGCAAGAATACTCATGCATTGTAAATCCAGAGGAAGAAGTTCAGAGCCCTGCAACACCTCACACAGCCAGTACAGCAAGGGGTTCCAAAGACAATTTAGAAAGGCATAGGGATGGCTGAGATTAGAAGATATTAGGTCAGCATAGAAACACTGCCAAGTGTCAACCAAATATTTAGTAAAGGAAATAATTTTTTTTTTTCTGTCCACAGAGAAGGAGCTATTGCAGGAAGATGGAAAAGTGCTATTGGACTTTCTACCTTTGGCAAAGGGTTGACATCCATCTCAGATCCACAGTCATGAGCAGTTGTTACTAACTGAAGGGGTTTGCAATTGCATCTTCCTTTTCTCTCTACAAAAACAAACTTCCAATTGCTTCTTTATTATTATTCATATCATGGCAAGGTCTCCAGAAGGCCTGGCACTGCATGAAAGGCCATGCGCCTCAGCAAGTGCTGACAAAACTAAAAAGTGGAATAGCTGGGAAGGAAAGGCATGAACCAGCTGACCAAGGTCATCTGAGATGTCAATGGAGAATATTTTCTTTGCTGTCTTTGACATGGCCACTGCTCTCGGCTGCTAGATGGGAAGGAAAGAGCCACACAAACAAGGAACCGTCTGTCTGCAGCTCTGGTGAGGTAAAAGTGGAATGCACCCCAGGGACTGATGAGGAAAGTTAATTTTATAACTGAAGAATGGCAATGCAAAAAGAGCATCCTAAACCCCATCTCTGCTTTGATAGGTTTCTGCTGTCTTTCTCCTGTTTGTTTATGTTGAGATAACTTGTCCTAGTACAGATTAACCTGGTTTCATATCACTGGTGTAGTCAGGGCTCAGAGCCTGGCCTTCCTTTTAGGCAAAATGGTTGTCTTAACACTTGGTCTATCAGAGCTAAGAAGAGACCTTTCCTATTTTACTAAGCAGAGGAAGGAGTGGAGGATTTTCATAAAAATGCAAACACTTCATTTCTTGCCTATGTGGAGCAGGCAGGCTGTCTGATCATGTCCTCAATAGCTGATAGTTGCAGGGACATCTCACAGCAAGGACACAGCTAACCTGCCACAGACTCCAGCTCCGCCAGCCCTTCCAGGCAAGAAGAGTGAGGAGCCCTTGGTAGTCCTGATAGACCATATGGAAACATGGTTGGAAGAGCAAGAGGGTCTTTTTTTTTTTTTTTTTCCCCCTAAGATGTTTCCCAGCCTGTGAGCCAGAAGAAGCTACTTGCCTGGAAACATTTTCCACTTGCTTTCATGCTACTGAGCAGCTACTCCGCTCAGCCTGCCCAATTCTGTCTTGATCTG